GGTGTTGGAGAACAAAACCAATAGGTCAAAGCTGAAAACAAATTTTATGGAGAACAATTGAAATGGTCTTGGTTATTGGAAAACTTAAGGTATGTTTCTTTGAGCGGTAAATTGATATGTTTCATTAAGAATAATGGTCTATGGTCGGTCAAGTTTTAGTTCAAGGCGCAGGTGTTGCTAACGGTTTTTAGTCTAATGGTTAGGGTCGACTATAAAGGAAAACTTTCACCCGTAGAGAGACATGGGAGTATCTTCATGGTGATCTCGTTGAATGAAAGTCAATGGCTCAAAAAGAGGGCTTTTGGTTTATCAGATGGTGGATCATTTAGGACATCATTATGTTTCCAAATACAGTTTGGAGCATTAGCCAAAGCATGAGTACAATGGTTGTATAGGGTCTGATATATATGTTTGGGTGGCAATAGTTTTGGTAGAGATCATTGTGAAGTTGGGACAATTTCAAGGTGTTTGTTTTAGTGACTCGAGAAGTTTGGTTGGATACACATCAACTATCCAAATTTGTTTTGATTTTGGTATAAAAGATTGATTTTTCAATTTTGAATTGTTGGAATTTGTTTGAATGTCAAGGTGGAGACTGTAGTATAATGTGGCATTGAAATTATGATTAGATTCTAATGTGTCAATGAAGCTATAACAAATGGATTATTTTTGTAAATATCTTAAATACTTATAAAGCTTGCATTTTCCCTTGATTGTCATGCATTTGAAACCCCCACAATAATTTGCTAAAACCTCATGCATTTGAAACCCCCAAACCTTTTCACCTTTTTAATAATTAATCACACATAATCAATGATAATTTATATAAGATAATAATTTGCTAAAACCTCATGCATTTGTATGTTATTAGAATATGTTTGAGTTTTTTGGGTTTTAGATTTTAGTAAATAGGTAATCCGTTGGATACGTTGGATTTGAAGTTATCTTATTCGAATTACCCAAAACAAGAGATAAATTAATAATATATGCTCATGTATGTTTTGTACAAGCCACAATTAAAATACAATATATCATGATCATACAATCAAGTGTCTTTTATTCCATTTTTGGCTTTATAACAAAAGTTTGTTTACGTGGCGAAGAAAGAAAACTTGAAGATGAATATTTAGGTTGGATGTTTATATAAGATTTGTTTTAAATATATAATATAGATATAAACACACAAAAATGGGTAATCCGTTTCATACGTTGGATTTGAAGCTAGCTTATTCGAATTACCAAAAACAAGAGATAAGTTAATAATATATGCTCATGCATATTTTGTACAAGCCCCAATCAAAATACAATATATCATGATCATACAATTAAGTGTCTTTTATTCCATTTTTGGCTTTATAGCAAAAGTTTGTTTACGTGGCGAAGAAAGAAAACTTGAAGATGAATATTTAGGTTGGATGTTTATATAAGATTTGTTTTAAATATATAATATAGATATAGATACACAAATGTGTGTCAAATACAGCCCATCACAAATTTAAGGTTATAAACTACAATATAAGTTAAAGTGGTTTTCCAAATATAATGTTTATACTATAATATAATATATTAGAATATCATATAGTAGACGAATCCCACATAGTTAGGGTCATATAGTAGACGAATCCCACATATTAGAAGAATACCATATTAGTTGCATAGATAATATATTAATTATAATTATATTTCATTTAAAATATGTTAGGGTCATTTGTTTATTACATTGTTGTATTAGGCACTATAGTCTCATATATATTTAATGAGTCTTACAAAAATGATGTCTGTAATTTGAATATAATGTAATATCTTATGATATTTATTGAATGTTATTATCTTCGATTGAGTATTTTTTAATTGAAATCAACTTTATTATAGTTAAAAAATTTGGCTCCGTTTATTTCTTTTCATTAGTTCTAGAATATGATTTTTTATATTAACTTAAAATATGTCACTATCTTAAAAATAGATTGAGAATTAGATTTTTTATATTTACTTAAAATATGGCACCATTTTCTATTCAATAGTAAAACTAACAAAAGTCGTTAAATATGTATTTTTATGAGGTTCAACATAAATAGACGACCACAAATGAGAATTCATATTTAATGAATCATCAACTAATTACATTAGATACTAATGTGGACATAAAAATTACATTTAAAATTTTAAACTAATAGTAAAAAAAATTTCATTATTTATTATGATAAAAAAAGTATGTAAATCAAAAAATATACATGTTATTTAATCGCATACAAGTTTTATGTATGGCTTATTCACAATACATTAAACCTTATATAACCATATTAAACTACATAATTATTTCATTGCGCAACGCGCAGACATTCTCCTAGTAAAGGATATAACTCAGTGAGTTTTAACTCATTTAGATACATGTGAAGAAGAATTCAGTTACTCTATGCATACAAAAACACAAGAACAATTTATTTCTTTGATCATTCTTTATTAATTCTTATACACTTGTTTTAGTTTACTGTTTAAATATGGGGTGGTTTCTTTTGGATTGAACGGTGCTATTAAATTGAAGTGCTTAACTACATTTTAAAAGTATAATTTTTCAAGCGGTGACAACATTTGTCGAGTGATGGTCCAGAGAATGCATTCAAGTGAAATTCTTTGATCTAGATAAAAGAAACAAGAGTTTTTTATTTTCAAAGTGGGTGAGTTTTTTTGGAAGAGTTCTATGCAAACTTTTATTAAGCTAGGTAACCTAACAGTCGAATTCCGTTTCCATTTTGGTTAAATTGTCATTGTTTTGGTGATTTGAAGTGCAAATAGGGTCTCTCCACAAATGAAACTTGTGTTGCATTGGAGTTTCCAAATACGCATGCCAAGTTTTTGATAAAAGTTCTCAAAGAGATCCAATGTGCGTTCAAGAACATTGTTTTGACAACGATTTCAAAAGGGTTGAGTAAAGGGTTAAAGGGTTTCAACTGGCTATTGATCCATTTGATTTTCAGAGGGGTTTTCCATCAAGGAAATAATGTTTTGATTCATTTAGTGGGTGGTTTTCTTTGATTAATCAAAGTGTTAATTACTGATGATTCGGTGTTGCTCATTTGAAGTTTTCTCAAGGTTTGATTGATCAAGAAAGAGGCGTTAAAGAACGAAACCATTAAGTAAAAGTTGTAAAGAAATCGGAAAAACACACAAAAACCCTATATATGTATTATACTCCAGCGCTTAAAAAAAATCCTTATATTATCAATTGGTACAATTTACCCATTATTATTTGTGATATTTATTATTTTGATGATTTGTAACCGGTTAAGCTTAAGGAACCGGTGGCATAAATGTTGTGGCATCTAAATAGATGACATGGATGTACATGGGTGACACGTTGGCAAAGAAAACTAGGTTAAAAAGTGCATCACATCTTATTCTGCTTCTTCAAAGTTATGATCTTGTTCTTGTTGCTTTTATTCTTTTAAATTCATCTTTGTAGAAATGGGCGATCGATCGTATGGATCTTCTTCTTTTTCTTCCTCAACTCTAAACTACAAAAACGTTTTGTGTAGATGTGGTGAACAACCGAAGATCTGGACTTCAACGGCCACGAAGAACCCAGGGCGACATTTCATCTGATGCTCTAATTCGCCGGTATCTTAGATTCTTTTAAGATTGATACCGTTTCTCTAATTGTTTCTCTAATTCTTACTCAGATACTTTATTTTTTTGTAGGATACTTCAAAAGATTGTACATTTTTTGTGTGGGTGGATGAGGATTTGGGTCTTCATTGGTATAAGAGTAAAGTGAATGATTTGCATAGGGAGAATATGATCCTTTCTAAAAAGAATATCGAACTGGAGAAGGAGAACATGAATCTGCAAAAGAAATTAATGAACTTTGAGCTAATTGACAAAAAAGAGACTGGTGTATTCATGGTTAGGTTGATGATGTATGAAATTGTTCTGGTTTGCATCTTCATTTGGGTTATAATTATGTAACAAGGAAAGTAGGTTAATGTAAAATAGCTAATTATGTATTAGGGTGATGTTGTTTGGTTTATGCACCTTTGTAAATTTGAAGAAATGTACTTTAAAGACATAGCACATTATAACCTTTATAAGTTGGTTGAGAAAGGATTTATTGCATACATCTATTTTATGAAGAGAATGTAATTGTGTGAGTATACGGATTGTTCCAAGTTCCCTTCTTATGGTTCTAATGTCTTTTTATATTTGCGTACAAATTAGTTGGACAGTTTTACCCTTTTGGTTACATATTATCTCATTATGGAGATTATTGTTGTTGGTTTCAATACTTACCTGTGTTTTTACATTATAAGCATTTGGATTCAAATGGTAATCAGATGCACATAGCACTTTTTTGCATAACATTTTTTTTGAACACACACCAACATCAATAGCACCAGACATTAAACACATCTACCGTTTAACCTTTTTTGGCATTATTGAATTGATAATTGGGAACATTAGATGCAAGTAACAATTTTGCATAATACTTTTTTTTTCACACACACCAACACCCAACGTAGAAACAGAACAGTAACAGAAAAAAAAAATACTGAAACAAAAACAGAAAAAAAAATATGATTTCAGTATTGTATTGATAAGCTATTCCTCATTTTACCCTCCTAACTCATATCTATTTTAATACTCTATCTCCATTGATTTGGAAATTCAGAAACAGAAAAAAATGATTTATCATACATAAATTGTTCACAGGAAATAGTTCAATTCACCATTTTTGCCCATTGGCCATTTTGCCCTTGGTGGTTGTTTATGTTTTTAGCATACAAGACAAAATATGACAATTATGGGGGAAAAAGAGGAACATAAAGTACATTTTTAGCATTTTTAAAACACAACTCCATTAACAAATAAGAGGAATATAACCTCTTAATGGGACATAATATTATTACATTTCAATAACAAAATACTAGGAGTACTAAATTCCAAGTAAACAAAGTATTACAAAAGACTAAAGTTTTGTCCCATTCCAGCTCCTAAAATCTAATATTCTAAATAATCCTTCCAGATGGCTTTCTTGGTTTGAGCTTTCCATGGATAACAAGTACATCAATTACTATCCCGCCAACCACATTAGATTGATCTTCCAAATTAGCTACAAAAAAGTTATGAAAGTATTAAATTTAATATAAGCATAGAATATATATATATATATATATATATATATATATATATATAATTATTTCTTACCATATTCAATATCAAATTGAGTTTCAGGCACTACATCTTGAGTTTCGGCCACTCCATCATCTTGAGTTATAGGAACTCCGTCATCAAATTGAGATTTAGGGAATTGCAACAAAGGTTCACCTTCTCTCCTTTCCATTTCAGCCCTATGTAGTTCTTCCTCAAAATTATCAAACATCTCTATAACTTCATTTTCCATTGGTGAATCAAAGATTTCATCAATAAATGACCTTCCTCCTCTACCACCACTTGTACTTGCAGATGATCCTCTTCCACCTCTTGACCCTATTGGTCCTTTTCCGCCTCTACCACCACTTGTAGCTGCAGGTGGTCTTCTCAGAGGTCTTTCATCAGAGTTTGTTTTTTAGGCCTACAGGGAGGCTTCTTTTCCTTAAGAGGGGCACAACCTTTTCATTCTTGCATGTCCTAGCATTGTACCCTTCTTGTAAACAATTGTGACACTTCTTTATTTTCCCTTTACCCGAAACAGTTGGATACTTTGTCTGTTTTTCATTCTTATCTCTTTTTCTTTTAATAGAAGGCCTTCCTAGCATCCTATGTTCTTTTGGGGGAAATAGCTTATCATATTTAGTTTTAACCCATAAATTGCTTCCATTTAAGGGAACATCGGAAGTGCTATAAGCCAACTGATATTTTTCCTTCTTGAACCAATCACTTTACATAGTCAAGGATATTTTGGTGGGTATGGTTTATAGCCGCGCATGCATGTACACATGGAAGCCCATACAATACCAATAGCCTACATGTGCATGCCCAACCTTCCAAGTCTACCATATATCCTTCATAACAATTTCTAACCTCCAATAGAGGCCCACTTGGGATAACAATCCAATTCCTAGCAAATATGTAAAGTTAGTATACTATTTTTAAAATTTAGTGTAGAACAATCGAATTTGAAAAACAATCTATACCTCATCTTTTTGTGCCATTTTCTCATCTTTTTAATTATGTTTGGAGAAACAATAGTTTTCCATGAATTTATGTTCCTTATCATTGCATCAAACCTCTCTATCACATGATGTATAATCTCTTCTAACATAGTTATCAAAGGTTTCACCTAGCACCAATGATCGCAGAGTTAAAAGACTGAGATATTCCATTTTCTACAGTCTCACATGTCCTATCTGTTTCAAAATAGGCCCTACACAGTTTTAGGATTTATTTTCATGACATCGTCATATGTATCATTGTTCAACTCTTTCATCTTTTCCATATTGTTTTTGAACTCTTGATCTGTTGTGGACTTTGCAAATTTCCAAAATAAGGTTTTATAAATCTCTCCACTGAAATGCTTGTAAAAATTGGCAAAAATATGACGGGCACATTGTCGGTGCTCATCATCTGGCATCACCTCCTTTACAGCTTCAAGAAGACCGTGCATTTAAATAGGGGTTGTTTCACATAAGGGCTGTTTTGTCATTTTAAATATGTCAAACTTTGTTAAAAAAGTGTCCAAAAATGTCAATAGGGGCTGTTTTCACATAAGGGCAGTTTTGTTATTTTAACTATGTCAAGATTTGTTAAAAAAATGTCCAAAAATGTCAACATGGGCTGTTTTGACATTAGGGCTGTTTTTTCATTTCAAATATATCAAAGTTTGTTAAAAAGGTGTCAAAAAAATGTCAATAGGGGCTGTTTTCATATAAGAGTTGTTTTTTCATTTTGAATATGTCAAAATTTGTTAAAAAAAAGTGTCCAAAAATGTCAATAGGAGCTGTTTTGATATTAGGGCTGTTTTGTCATTTCAAATATATCAATGTTTATTAAAAAGGTGTCAAAAAATGTTAATAGGGGCTGTTTTCACATAAGGGTTGTTTTGTCATTTTAAATGTGTCAAAAATTTGTTAAAAAAGTGTCCAAAACTATCAACAGGGGCTGTTTTGACATTAGGGTTGTTTTGTCATTTCAAATATGTCAGAGTTTGTTAAAAATGTGTCAAAAATGTCAATAAGGGCTGTTTTCACATAAGGTTGTTCTGTCATGTTAAATATGTCAAATTTTGTTAAAAAGCATCTGAAAATGTCCATAGGGGTTGTTTTGACATAAGGTTGTTAACATATATCCATATTGGTCAAAATAAGCATTACTAGGTAGAAAATTACCTTATTTTGATGTGATATTAAAGTAAGCTCATTTCCTTGAACTGTTTTAATATCTGATTGAGTAATTCAATGAACCACTTCCATTTATCTTTATTTTCTACGTTCACAACCGCCCATGTAATGGGGTAAATTTGATTATTTCCATCTCGACCAATAGTAGCTAGCAACTCTCCTTTAATTTTCCCTTTCAAGAAACATCCATCTAAATCAATCACCTTACGACATCCTTTCAACCATCCTTCTTTTAAATCCTTCAAACAAATCTAGATTCTTTTGAAAAAATTTGCATCCAGATTGACATCGACTCCAATTTCAACATAGCTTCTTGGGTTTGATCTCAAAACTTCATTACCGTAATCCCATATTCTAGCATAATGATAAGTTAACTTGCCATCAATTAGTGTAAATGCTAAGGTCCTTGCCCTTTCACACTGACCTTTCCTAAGCTTTAAAGAATATCTCTATAAAAATCAACTTTCATTTCTTTGACTTTCGTTTTGGTATTGCGAATGCGGTCACCAAGATAACGGTTCGCAATCCAACTTGGAGTTATCAATTACCCGAGGTTGTATTTACATGCACAAACATGTTTCTTTTCCAAAGATCTCACTTGCCAAGTTAGTTCATTTCCCATCCAAGACGCCCAACATCTAAATGGACACTTATTATCATCGTTTTTTTTGCCGCAACGTACTAATATCTTAGAACGATCACACTTGGCAAACCTCAACTGGTATCCATTAGCCACCGCATAATTTGTTAGACAAAGCTTGAACTGTTCCGGGCTTTCATATTTTTCCCCCAAGTGTGGTTTCATCATATTCCAAGGAATCCTAGGGTTGTGTACATGAAATTGGTCTTCAGTTTGTTGATCTTTATGCTATCCTTCATCATATTCTTCATCTGAATGGGTCATTTCAGCATCATCAGATGATATTTCAGGCAATTCCACTTCACCCTGTACCAAGTCATTCAAAAAAGGATCCCATATTGTTTTTTCCATTGAAGAAGGAACATATTCTTCTTCATCAGACTCATCAACTGTTCCATTCACACCCTCTGTATGAACTTCACATAATACATTTGAACTTGAAGTCAGAGTTTTTAGTTAAAGCTTCCTTGAAGAATCAATGGAAACAACAAAATAAGAAGTAGGGGTAAAAGACAGGTTGATGTTCAGATTAAGCATAATAGAAAAGATCGATTACCTGTTTTTCGTGTGATTAAGCAACAAGTTTCCCGCCACTTCCAAGAAGCTTTCCCTCCTGTACGTAGCTTTGCCTTTCATTTTTTTTTACAGAATGACCACTATCAAGTTAAAAGAGAACAAATGTAGTCCACGTAGATTAATAAGAACAGGTAACCTAGGGTTACCAGATAAATGAGATAGGTTACACGGTTTCTGAAATTATAATGGTTAAATTGTGCTAATTGATAATATATGGGTTTTTATAAGCGCTGGAGTATAATACATAGGGTTTTTGTGTGGTTTTCTTAATTCTTTGTGTTTCGTTGCTATTAGCGACGGCTTTTCCGTCGGTAAAGTTCGGTCGCTAGTACCTTGTTTCCTAGTAGTGGGATGTGCCAAATATAAATAAGCATTCCAAAAGGAGAGACAAAATGAGAACAAATTTATTGATTTCAGAGAAAAGAAAGATTACAAAAACGAAATGAAATTTGACTTGTCTTTAATCATATGATTATTGACACACACACAACTTCAATATTCAATATTGAAGGTCGAACAATGACGTCCAACTGTTATTGAAAAAATACAAACAAAAGTGCATAACTTTTTTATTGAAATTCTCCACCATGATAAAATGTTATTCAAGGATATCGAGCAAGGATTGGGACACATATACTTGCCAACAGATCCGATTTCGTAGTATACTCCTTAACCTCAGCAAGCTTCATTCCATGAAGAATTTGGCGGCGTACATCCTCTATCGCGTTTTCCATTTTTTCAATGTCTTCGCTTCTGATTTTGCTTCTTATGCTTTTGATTTTGTTCTTCAATTTGTAAATGTAATCCTCCAAATCGCTACGTGCAGAAGTCTTTTCCTTGAACTCCTCGTCCTCTATTTTGTACCTTTGTGCATCTTGCACCATTTTTTTGATGTCTGCCTTTGAAAGCCTCTGCTTGTCATGGCCGATTCTTACCTTCTTTGTAAGTCCAGTGGTTACTTCCTCCCCGGAGCAGTTTAAAATACCATCATCATCGATATCAAATACCACTTTTACTTGTGATGTACCCTTCGGAGCAACAGGAACTGCAACTGTGAATTCTCCTAACCAGTTATTGTCTATAGCCCTAGTTCTCTGCCCCTGATAGACATTGAAAAGTATAGCACTTTGGTTATCCTCAGCTGTAGTGTAATTGGCTTGCCTTGTCAATGGTTTTTTCGCATTTCTTTTGACTATAACAGATAAAGAGGTGTCATAAAGAGCTACACCAAGTGACAATGGGACAATATCATTTAACTCGAAGTTGCTAACTTGTGGACTACTTTCTCCACTTAACTTAGCAGCAAGAACTGCTGCACCATATGCAACAGCCTCATCTGGGTTGATCTTCTTTGAAAGCTCTTTCCCATCAAAAAAGTCTTTCAACAATTGTTGGACCTTAGGTATCCTAGTTGACCCACCAACAAGAACTACCTCATCTATATCTCTCTTATTAAAACCTGCATCACATAAACAACTATCCACCATCTGTACGCAATTAGTAAAGAAATCTTCATTCAGATATTCAAATTTCGCACGAGTAATTCTCATAGAAAAGTCGACACCCTGATGCAAAGCATCAATTTCAATCGTAGTTTCAGTTGTTGAAGAGAGAATCCGTTTTGCTTTTTCACAAGCCACCTTCAACCGACTCAGTGCTTTCACATTCCCACTCATATCTGTCCTGTGTTTTTCATTGAATTGCTTCACAAAATGTTCCACCATAACGTTGTCAAAGTCCTGACCACCTAAGTTAGTGTCACCAGCAACAGCATTGACTCGAAACGTACCATTTACATCAATGGTGACAAGAGATACATCGAAAGTACCACCCCCCAAGTCAAAGATGAGAACGTTCGTTCCACGAGTTATATTTGTACTCATGTCAAACCCATAAGCGATTGCAGCTGAGGTAGGTTCATTGATTATTTGAAGAACATTAAGTCCAGCAACATATCCTGCATCCTTTGTGGCTTGACGTTGTGAATCATCAAAATAAGCTGGCACAGTGATGACTGCATCTATCACTGTATCACCTAGGTATGCTTCTGCAACATCTTTGAGTTTCATAAGAACCATGGATGAAATCTCCTCAGGAAAAAATTCCCTCTTTTCACCATTGTAGTCGACTACAATCTTCGGAATGCCGCTACTCCCTTTGATAATTTCAAAAGGCCATAACTTCATGTCTTCTTGAAGTTTGGCGTCATTGAATCTCCTTCCAATCAACCTTTTTGAATCTGAAAATCGACCATGTATCTTATAATTCTAAAGAAAAATAATCACTCTTTTAATTAGAAAGGAGTAAAGTTGGGAGAGAATACAAACCATAGATTGTGTGGGTAGGGTTTATAGAGAGCTGGTTCTTAGCACCTTCACCAATGAAACGACCTGTATCACTGAAAGATACACAAGATGGCATTGTCCTATTACCTTGATCGTTGGGTATGATTTCCACTTGCCCATTTCGCCAAACACCCACGCAAGAATAAGTTGTTCCAAGGTCAATACCAATTGCGGGTGCAATACCATCTCCAGCCATTATGCTTTTAAGTCAAATCTGCATTAATTACAAGAAATATAGTGATTATTATTGGTTTGATGTTTGTACTCATCTAATTTCCAATGTATGTTGAATTTCCGAAAAATAAACACCTTTCGCCAAGAAAAAGGAAACAAAGATTTTCATCAAATGGATTACCATTTTTGTTGGTTTGGTACAGATTTCATATTCAGTATTTCTATTTCAGTTGTATAAGTTTTATAAAAGCAATCGACTAGTGATACCAATACGCTGTTAATTTTATAAAAAACTTAATTGAGTTTCAGAAGTTGAAATTATCAATCTTTTATTTATTACTTATTAGTTTTGATCTTTGAATTTGTTTTCCTAATGCAAGAGGCGCCAAACGATATACTTTTAACATGGACTAAACTTCAAAGCTAAAACTCATTAGTAATGAAATGTAGTTGGATTGTTTTAACAAATATCTAAAACATCGATACTTAAAAAAAAGTTATGTGTGAGTTTCTACATCGGAACCAGCAACTA